GCGGCGAGCGAGCCAGCCGCCCTAAATCACCGGAGGGGAACCTGGGAAGATGTGACGAGTGTTTGCTTTCCCAGGCTCTTCTCCCTGCGTTTCGCTGGATGCTAGGAGCAGGTTAATTAGTCGGCTGGGCGGGCTGGCCCGGCAGCACACGGCGTTGAGCGGAGGTTACGCTAGGGAGGATGTGGGAGTAATTAAGGTCGGGATCCCTGGGGGCTGGCAGGTCAGCATCTCCCCCTTTTCCCAGTGAGGGCTGTGCAGAAAATAAAAATGCTGTCAAAGGGGGGTGGGGGGGCAAAAGCCGCCCACAGCCACAGGATTCATCGATCCGACAAGCAGAGAAAATGCAAACGCTCGGAGGAAGCGTCGCGCTCGTGCCGCCATTAGCAGCGAGAGGCTAAATTAGTACCCAGCGCTTGAGAGGCAGCGGACTTGCCTCCTCGCCGAGGCAGGCAGTGCTTGAGCAGCTTTGCTGTCGCTGTTTTTAATTAAACCAAGCACTCCACGCTCTGAACGTGGCATCAGATCTTCACACGCGTGGCTTTAATTAAAGCTCTGACTTTCCCCTAATCAAAGCACATAAATCCCAGCAAAGAGCCGCAGGTTCTCCCTCGGGCTCGCTTCCAACCCTCAGCTCTGCTCGTGCTCAGTTTCTGCTGCTGCTGCAGCCCGTACCATCGACGCTCCAGCAATACCTTCAACAGGGGCCAAGCCTTTTCCTCTCACATCTGCTCCTCTGACAAACTCCTCAAGTGACAACAGCTCAGCTGTTAACTCAGTGCACGGAGCTTTCTCCTGCAGACCCGCGGCCAGATGTGGCTTTGGATCACCGCTGAGAAGCTGCTGTTCCTCCCACAGTCCAGCTGTTTGCCGTTCTTTGTTCGCACGACAAGAGCTGCAACGTGCTTTGGTGAGCTGAGGAGCACTTCCGAGACGCTCCGAGGCGCGGGCTGGCAGCGGCGAGCACCACCAGCACACGGCAAGACCACATGAAGAACCGGTAGGGGCTCAAATACGGCTGGGAACGGGAGAGTTGAGCTTAGCACAAAGGCCCGAGGCGATGCTGCGAAGACCCCAAGGCTGGCCACGCGCAGAAGATCTCCGCGGGTCTCTCCTTCCCGCGCGCGGGGCGGCACCGGATGGCACTCGCAGCAGCGCACACCCGCACAGCTATTCCTGGAATAAAGATCGCTAGGACTGTCAGCTGCAGCCAAATAAACGCTGTAACAACTTGATTGTTAACTGCAGTCATTTTAGGAGAATCGCTGCTGTTATAGACAGCGCTCGGAGACAAGCTCGAGGCTATTTAAAAATAACGACTCTGCCTGGCCAAAGGCTGCGGTTAGGAATTCTGCTTATCATCAATTAGCGGCTGCTTTGCCAACAAAGGACAATGCCGAGCCCATGGGACAATACTTCCCAGATGGCCTGTCCACAACAAATTAAAGTTGCAGCCCTGATGAAGCAGGAGCTGTTTAAACACAGGAAGCTTTTTGGGCAATTAACTCTGTCCTCCTCCTCCGAAAGGAACACCTCCCCCGCAGCTCGGGAAACGCGGGAAGAAAATATTCCCGGGACACGGCTCCGGAGCCACGCGAGGCGACGCCACCCCGCTGCCCGGAGCGCAGGCCGCCCACCCCCG